AATGCATTGAAATAAATTTATTCCATTTTTTTTTCGGTTCTTAAAATAGTGACTTTACTTTATCAAGAATTTCAGAGTCTCATCTAATCGATATTATTATTATTATTATTTAAATAGAGCAATAGAAAAGAGGTATAGGTCATTATGAATTATATTACTTTTCTTTGATTCAGTGAAAAAAACCCAAGTTAAAGATTCTGTACAATTCTCTTTGGTTGTCTGTAGTTTTGTTGAAATATTTAATAGGAAATGTTTGATCATAAATGTATCGTTGTTTTTCTCTCCTAATAAAAAGACATATTACATATATTTAAACAAAGAAAAAATAAAAGATATGTAATGTTTTACAACTGATAAAAGTTATTAATCTAAACTTCACTAGAACCTTGTACATAATCCCAATCGACATTTAAATGATCTCGTTTAAAAAATAATTTAAATTTATCAATACTATCGGTATCGCGTTCTAATTGCCATAATAATTGACATGTACAAACAGGTTTCGAATATGTTAATGTTGTTGTTGTTGAATTTATTCCTATACGTTCATTTGTTGATTCACTTGATGATTCATTTTCAACATCAACAATTTTCATTGATGATGTTAAATCATTATTGATATTTGAATGAAGTTTTTTTCGTGTACTTTTATGAATTTGTTTGATGAAATCATTTTTATGATTATTCGATTGATTTGTTGTATAAATACAATCAGGTGAATGACTTTGAATAATAGTTGATTTATCATTTGATTCTGATTCAATATCATTATTTGGAGGATCTAAAGAATTTACTGATACATTAGGTAGATCTATACCTAATGCTGCCGGTATATTATCTAATGTTTTTTGACTTAGTATTCTTGTAGGATATGGTAAATCATCAGAACTAAATGCAGGTAATGGTGCTTGTGGTGAACCGGATAAACGTCGATGATGATGATGATACATCCATTGATCTGGATAAGCTGATAATGAACTTGATGGACGACGATCACTACCAAGTAAATCATTTGTACGTAATGATGATGCTGCAGAATTTACAAATTCAGCTTTTAAACGTAATGTATTACCAAAACGAATACGATGTAAAACTGAACGACGAAATAATGATGAACCTTCACTATAACGATAAGATGATATATCACTTTTTGATGTTGTTGATGAACCAAAATGACAACGAATATCTTTATTTGTAGCAAATGCACTAAAATAAAACGCATTCTTTTTGTTTCTTTCTTTTTGGATATGAAAATTTATTTACCTTCGATGATTTTTTTCTGGTTTAAATATAATTAAATAAAGTTTAGGAAAAAATAAAAATATTAGTATAACATATGCACTTGCATTTGTTGCAACACATAATGAAAATACTTTAATATCAATAGCAAAATAAACAGCAGCAAATGCTAACCATATAACACATGTTGTATACATTGAAAAACCAATAAATTTTGCTTCTATTCAAACACAAAAGAAGAAAAAAACAATGAAATAAAACAATCTTGATTTTATTTACCATTAAAATTTTCAGGTAAATTTCTTGTTTTAATCTAAATCAAAGTTCAAGAAACAAAAACAAAATAAATACAAGAAAACTTACTGCATAAAGTGTACACAAAAAAACAAGTAGACCATCAAAACCAAGTGGAGCAGCAATACCTTGAAGTGATTTTTTACCTAATTATATAAAAAAAAAATCACATTTGCTTCATAATGCTTTTATTATTTAACAACGAAATATTTTCAACTGAACAGTTTCTTTTTTAACAAAAGCTAGTAGACTATAGGTGTTAGCCTACCATGTCAATTCTGAATACGAACATTTTAGAAAATCGTTTTTTAAGACTAACAAACCTTTTGTTTTTGAAAATGCAGTCGTTTTAATTCATACAACAGATACATATCAACATCTGGGGTATATAAAAAAATGTGCACAAATAGTTTGTGAACGAAAGATAATTACAAAAGAAAGAAACAGAAAAATTACGTAAGAAAATGTCTAGAAAATTCAGTGTAAGATGCGTACTCTGTTTCTTGACAAGGAAACGTTGACACTCTTAAGTGTTATTAACACTTGATTTATAAAGCACATTATCAAATGAATATTTATCATGTTTCGTTTTAACTAGCGTCTATAAGTATTCATTTACAATACATTTGGTAGTATATACAAGCTGTCTGACGCATCTTTATTTGCAATCATACGTACTACTATAATGTTTACATTCATAAGACGATATATAGTTTACTAATGTATCTTGAATCGTAAGTGATCCTGTTTCGCTCATTTGAATTGGATGGATTTTCAATCATGAAATGCCAATATATGCTTGTCCCAATAATGATACATGCTCTCCGTCAATCAACATCTTCGTGTTCTATCTTCTATACCCTTCATTAACTAATCACATATTGTACACTCGGTGTGTCTGTGTTTTCCTTCATGCATACATGTTCTCTCTAACAGAGACTGAATCTATAAAAGAAAGGCTTATGGATTCAAAAAAAAAAGACATTTGCTCGATAATAATAAGTTTTATTACAATGATCTTAATCTTTCGTATTTGAATTTAAACACAAAACAAATCTTACATGTTAATAATAAACGTCCACCAGTTTCGATCAATACTGCTTTAGGCGGATCTCTGTACACAGTAACAGCTAAATATAAAAAAAAAAAAACATTAAAACAAAACGTCTTAGCATAATCCTTGCGGAATTAAAATGTGAAACATAATGTAACTTCTCTTGCTATTACAATAAGGAAGTAGTTCATATATTATAGAGAAACGTTCTTGATAGAAGTTTTAACGTCTGTCATAGTCTATGAGTGGATTCAAATTTTTACCTCTATACTTTAACATTGCTTTCAGATTGTGTTTCACAAAAACAAGACGAAGTCTCATTTTATTTTAAATAACTTACCAACAATTGTAACTTCAGTAACAAGTATAAAACAAGCAATTGCAAGTTGATGTCTAGCACTCATAAATTTCAATCGTCTTGTTATAATTTTCTTTTTACTTCTTGCTAAAATTCTTGCTATTCGATTTGTTTTTGTAACTAATGATCCATATATCATTGAAAATGATATACCTGGTAATAAACGTGTTAAAACACAAATAATAAATGAAGGTTTTTGTAAAATAACAAATGCTGTTAAATGACAAAATAATATTCCCATTAAAATTAAATAACTTAATTCACGTGTTGTTGATTTAACAACCGGCGTAGCATTAAAACGTACGAATATATAAACAACAAAAAAACTTATTAGAATACCAATACCAGCAACAAAACATATTATGATTGATAATGGATGACGAAAATTTATTGTTGTTATTGGTAATAGACCGCAAGCTAGAAAAAAAAATCCGATACATGCATAGGATATAGGAGAGGGGAGACGATCATCAGATGACACTCGCTACAAATATTTTCATTTTAAATAATAATAATAACCTGTTTGATTAGTATTAGGTGAAAATCCAATTGGACAAGTAAAACATGTTGTATCATCAAGTACAATAGCACTACCACAGGAATGACATTTCCAACAACAACGTTCTTCATCAGTATATTTCTATAAGAAATGAATAGTGGAGAAAGAAAAAAAAAGAAATATCAATAAAATACTAACTCTAATATGACCTGGCGGACAAGCATCACTACAAAATCGACGAATATTTATTTGATTTATTGAACGTTGATCAGCAAAAAAACGTATTGATGATATATTTAAATTTAATTTACCAGTACTCCATGTTCCAACTTGAACATAATGTAGAGGATGTTCAAAACTATTTGTATTAGCTTGTAAATTTAATATATCATATCTTAAAATAAATAATAAAATCAAAAAAAAATAAATTTCATAATATACCTTCCAGGACCATCACCATTTTCATCAAAAAATACTTCTTCACCTAAAATCAAAAAAAAAAAAGGATTTACACTAATGAAATCTTTTTTATTTAGTTTTTCTTACCAGTTATGCCAGTAAATCGACTACTTTTTAAAAATTGCATTAATAATGATGTATTCATACGAGCCATTTCTATACATAAACCATTTGTTCCATTACAAATCTATGTTTAAATATTTTAATAAATAAAATCAAAGAATATTTAATTTTAAATTACTTGTTTATGCATTTTATCTAGACCATGTACAACAGCTAATATTGAATTAATAACAAATGCAAGTTTAGGATCTTCATTATAAGGTACTTTAGTAAGACTTTCATTTTCTGGATGACATGCTCGAGAATATTTATTTGTTCGACTTAAATAAGGATTATTATAATAATAACTATTTAATGAACAGGCAAATTTTTGTTGCCAATATTCACGAAACCATACATTTCGTGTATTATTATATACA